CTGAAATCGCCCGATTAATCGTTGTGTGTAAACGCATAGGCAGCCCAAAAATGCGTGGTATTTGTCTCTTTTATGTAGTCTCATAGCCGAATTATTATTTTAAGTTAACGCCGATCACGTTTTGAAAAACATAGTGACTATTAAAGGACTTTTTTAATTTCAGCTGTAGATTACATAAGTAAAAACGCACAAATTGTAATAAACCTGCAGCAGACTTGTAGCAATGCTGTTCCAACAACTTGTCAACAGGATGTGTTCGCACTGCCTGTCGCCAGTTTGTTGGCAAGTTGTCAACGGCTTGTTTGCAACTTGCTGCACGGTTATTGAGATCAACAGACTTGTTACAAGTTGTTTCAACTTGTTATCGTCCTGCAATCCAAAAATTTGTCAACAAGTTGTGAGTGACAACCTTATAGTAACTTGATAAAATAACAGCATTAATTGTTACAACATGTTGACAAGCTTGCTACAAGCATGTTGCGAATACAACTTGTTGACAAGTTGTGAGATTTTTACGTGTGTAATGGAGTAAAAAAGTAGTTTGTTTGCAAGTAAACTCAAACCATTATTAGATCTTTCGATCTGTTCATAATTCTTACGAAGTAAAAACAAGATTGAGTCAACTTCTCACCTGGCTTGATATTGACTGGTTGTTCAACCCGTGGTTCAACTGGCCCTTCGACCACATCCTTGACCTCATCCTTAAATAAAAAAACATTTCGTCATCATTTATGCCTAATTGTGAGTAGTTATATACTGTACAGACTCAACCAAACACCTCAGCTAGGTACTTCGGCTTTTAAGGTCATACTGAATCAACCATTGGCCCATTCAAACCTCTATAGGAAGAACATTTTAGAATTGATAGAGCTATCCATATCAAACAAAGTTAGTTAAGTTTAGGTTTCCCCTTGTAGTAACACTGGATCAATAAGAGATGATCCTTACTGGACCTCCTGTAGTAGCACTGGATCAACAAAAGATGACTCTTACTGGACCTCTAGGGAGAACAGTTTGGAACTGATAAAGCTATCGAGTATAAACAAAGTTAGTTTAGTTTAGTTTCGTCCTGTAGTAACACTGGATCAATACTCTCTCCTCCGCAGAGGCTTTTAAAGAATATGAAATTCGAAGGAATTGAAATTGCGCCAGAAGGTATCTGGTATGAAGACAACCGCTGAAAATCGGCGCGCGGGCGAGGGGAAGGGAAGGAAAAAATAGCGGAAGCCTCTGCCCGATTTATGTCGATATCTGTGACAAATTGGCGATATCTGTAGCATCCGTATATTATCTCAACAATCCTTTCTGTTTTAAATTTTATTTGATAATGTGAAGACATTTTGGATAAAGATCTGCTGGCCAACGTATATATTTTGGTATAATATTGTGTTTATGAGATTGAATGAATGAAAATAATAAATAGTTTTGGCAAGGACCTTTATGGTCTAAATATAACCCAAACAACTTCGCTGCCTGTCTCGTTTGAACAACCGACAACACCATGCTCTCACGATCGCCTTCAACATCAAAAATCTTGTGATTTTCAATATCCTATATTAAAACACACATTCATTGTAAAATACATCAGCAATGTAAAGTACATAAAGCCGAACTATTATCGAATTCTGTGCCTTTGTGTGTAATTCGGTAATGCTGTTGAAGGCCTACTTGACTAAATATATCTGTTGTTTGTGAATCACAGACAGCACAACACGTTTTCCTGCTCCGCAAAGCGAAAATAAATTGCCTTCGTGGACATGAATAATTTATACGCAACTGAGCCATTTTACCAAACTGCTCGAGAATCTGCACGAGTCTCTCTCCTCCCGGTTTAACGCCATATTGGGACATAAATCGGGCAGAGGCTTCCGCTATTTTTTCCTTCCCTTCCCCTCGCCCGCGCGCCGATTTTCAGCGGTTGTCTTCATACCAGATACCTTCTAGCGCAATTTCAATTCCTTCGAATTTCATATTCTTTTAAAGCCTCTGCGGAGGAGAGAGGGATCAATAAGAGATGATCCTTACTGGACCTATAGAAAGAACAGTTTAGAACTGATAGAGCTATCCAGTATAAATAAAGTTAGGTTAGTTTAGGTTTCCTCCTGTAGTAATACTGGATCAATAAGAGATGATCCTTACTGGAGCTCTAGGAAAAACAGTTTAGAACTGATAGAGCTATCCAATATAAATAAAGTCAGTTTAGTTTAATTAGGTTTCCTTCTGTAGTAACACTGGATCAATACGAGATGACTCTTACTGGACCTCTAGGGAGAACAGTTTGGAACTGATAAAGCTATCGAGTATAATTAAAGTTAGTTTAGTTTAGTTTCGTCCTGTAGTAACACTGGATCAATAAGAGATGATCCTTACTGGACCTCTAGAGAGAACAGTTTAGAACTGATAGAGCTATCCAGTATAAATAAAGCTAGTTTAGTGTATGGTAATCTTGACACTTACACAGAGTATTTCATTCAAATCAATACACCACAGGACATTCCCATCTTTATCACTGACTTTGACTTCCAGATTATCTATGAGGTCATTTTCATCAAACGTATGTTTATACCACTCGGCATGCTTGTCTATGTCATTTCTCCCGAGATCAAACTTCCCCAAACAGACACATTCACTATTTTTACAACACTCCAACGTAAGATTTCCTTTCTTTAACAATTGCTTTGGTGGCTCAGTCTCTTCGCCTATCAAAAATTTGTTTTCTTCTGAAATCGTAACTGCTGTTTTCAATCCTTTAGGATTCTGATATAGTTCTTCGCTTATCCCAATAATCCGCAATTTGATTTTCCCGCCCTTTTTCAAGAAGTACACCAAAATATGAAACCAGACTTGGCCATGAATGAGTGCCAGCAACGCATGTTTTAGACTGCTGAGCGATTTCTTTATGCGAAAAACCAAGACTTTTGAGGACTTTTTAACAGGTATGTCAATGTTTCGCAAACCTTGTGCGGTTGTGCATTCATCTGTGATGTTTCGCCACCGTGTTGAGCCTGCTTCTTGCTGCAAAATGACGTAGTTCATATTCTGATCTACTTCTGTGTCAAAAGTGAGTTGCAGGTTCAAGCCATTCGAATTGCAAGATGTTTCCCCTGATCTCTCAAATTCAATCTGAAACATCAATGGATTGACACCCGAGTCTTCTATCTCTTGAAACACAGTGCTGTCAAATTCTTTCATACAGGGCGTGGGGTCCTCCTCCCAAACACGGGCAGAATGATCATTGGTCTGTGTATGATGTTGATTTCTAACTCGTAGTGTAAAACTGTCTCCCTTCATGCGACCCCCAATTCCGATCCAGGTGCTGGTGCCAGCGTAACTTGATGATCTTCCTAAAATATTTAAGAATATCTATACCATTAATATTTTATCTTAAAGTTTATTTTAGGAGAAAACTCCGCACTTGATTACACTACTCTGATTCTCTGGCCTGGAACTCCTCTTAAGGTTTGTCACGCCTAAGCCGCCTCTCATTTGCCAAGACGAAAATATTTCTTTCCTGCAAGCATGTGAGTATGAAACTATGCTGTCATAGATAGTCGTCACTGCAGGTGTTGTCAAGGCCGCCCAAAGGGGTGGAGGGGGCAATTTGCCCATAAGCCCCAGTTAGGGGGGGGGGCAAATAAAAAAATTACAGTGCAATATAAATAGATATAAGTGTCAACAGACTTCCAGATGCAGGATTTGGACATTTCTGCCCCCGGACCCCCTTAATCATAGGGCGCTTTCCATTAACACGGCCAGACCGGTCAAATTGTAGAATGGAACACAAAACGATTGGGCTTCGGACCTATCTGACCGGAAAATTTAGACAACAGAGAGGTTAAGATACCCCGGTTCCGGTTTACGGGTACGTGTGATATACACGTACCCGTACCTGTAAAAGCGCTTCCGCGGGGCGCTTCCCCGGGCAGTATTTAGCAGAACCCGATGTGGCATGCTTTATATTGGAGAAACTGGAAGACATTTGATTAATGAACGTTTTTCCAATGTTCAATTCTATCTGTCTTTACCTGTCTAAAGCAGACACACTTTTAATCCTTACCTTGTTCCCTAATTATTTCATATATTTTGTCGCATTTGCGTGTCCTCTGCGGTATAATTGAATTAATATATTCTGTAATGTGACTTACATTTTTTGTTTATACTTTGTTTTAACTAAATCCATCTGATTGGTTTATTTTTTTGTCACGTGATTGCTTTTATAAAAGCTCATGTAATTTTCCCGACCCCCGCTAATAACTCCAGACCAAGGGCCTTCGCTCAAAACGTCGAAATTCTCCTTATATATTTTTAGGTAGTTGCATCTCTACCAACGAAAGCTTGTATCCTAAATTTGGAGCTGCCTACCCTGGCAAAGAAAGTTCAAGATTATATTTGAAAAATATGCTGTCAACGTCATCTGACGACATCGTCAGCTGACAACATTCGTCATTAACATTCGGCAAAACCTGAAATCGTCCCGATTAATCGTTGTGTGGAAACGCATAGGCAGCCCAAAAATGCGTGGTATTTGTCTCTTTTATGTAGTCTCATAGCTTGGAAAGGTTTTGAAAGCACTTTGTTTAAAGATTTTCACGCGCGAGCTTTCAAA